AGAGAGAGAGAGAGAGAGAGAGAGAGAGAGAGAGAGCCATAACGTATCGGTTGTCACCGCTAAGGACTACTCATTGAATCGAGCCGTCGTTCCCAACACTAGCGCTGGTCTATTGTCTCCATTTGTGGCACTCATAGCCTCGCAGTCTCTTTGCTTCAGTATAGAAGCTGTGAGTCGAGTGAACGGCTCTAATCCTCTTATTTGTCACAAATAATAACACAGAATCACAGAAAAAGATAGAGAGAGACAGAAAGATGAGAGTCACCAGTGATTGCAGTGCCGCTCACTTAGGGAAAGGCAGGTTAAGGCACACATTCTCTTCAGTGAGTGATTCTGTGAGCCTTTCGTATATCTAAATGATTAGCTCTACTCTATTCGAGTGCTTATATTTAAACACTCCTTATATTCAATGGCTATTACTCCACGAATTACTCACTTATTTGTTATTCTCATATCAAAGGCTCAATAGTTTTAATCTCTCTTCAAATACCAAATATTAATAATTTTTAGTAAAAATTTTGGAAATAGTTTTGTTAGAATTTGTGATATAATTTCACAGAATATTTGTAACAAATGTATGGAAAATGAATTTTTCTTATCTGTGGTTTATTTTAAGTTCAAACACAATGAAGTAGTGATGATTGGTATCGAAGCGCTCGTTAGTGTAGAATTCAATTTGTAATTCAATTTATCAGTGAAACCACAGTAGAGTTCAGGAAATTAGAGAAACGGTGAAAATGAATGAAAATGAATGTCACCTCAAGAGGAAGTGGAGGCACCGACTCGGGAGTGGGTGCGCGCAGTGATTGCCTTTGCTTTAATAAGTTATACTAAACATTACAAAAGATATGAGTCGTCAGTATTTACTGATATATGACATGAAAGAGAAAGAGGGGAATGAAGTGAATGTGAATCCAAATCAATGAGCAGTTGTGTAACACGTTTTCTGATATATTTGTACTCAAAAGATAAGCCAAATGTATGGCAATATTCATTGAGCTTCTGTTAAGCCAAACACTGAGAGTACATAACTGTGTCCAACACCGGGAGCTCCACTCACTTAGACATCAGTCATCTGTTCGATTGCCACGACTTAAGTCACTATCAGTTCAATAATGAAAATCCTATTTCTATACAAACTTTAGTTTTAGAGTTTTATATAATTTTCAATAAAACCTATCATTTTATTTGCAAACTTTTGCTTATTATAAAAGGCGATAAAAATCACTTCTCTCGAGCAAACGTTATGATATAATATTGTCTAATATTTCTTTTAATGCCAAAAGTCCCTCAGCCTCCGCACACTGACTGACATTTACAAAATATGATATACTATACCATTACAGGCGTAAAAGTGTGAGCGCACAGCATATGCCGCACTATAGGACTATATTGTATTGATTTCCACTTTTCTGACATTAACTTATGATACAAATGCAGTTATCTTTTTATTATACACTACTCTTCTATCAGTACTAGTGATGAGACTTCCTTTTAATCAGAAGCTCTCGACTCCACAACATGTCATAAACAGGTTCCCTAATAATCATATATTTGATATAAGTTAGTATTTTTAATATTTACAAATGGGCAAGAACTTTATTGAATCATGTAGTTTATAGATTTATTCAATTATACTATCAAAACTCGAATATTGATACTTTGAGGATTAAAAATAATATTTTTAAACGTTGCTATAAAAAATATCAGAATCAATTATCAATTTGTACACAAATATAAACATAATTCTAAACAAATTGTGATTTGTGTTGAGTTTAATACAATATTAGGTTTATCTGCAAGCATTTAGAATATGGGCCTGTTTTTGAATTATTTGCAATTAAACACAAGATTACACTTAAAGAATGTAATGTCATATCATATAATCGTTCACTCAGTTGTAAATACAATGAAAAGACTCAAAATCAGGGAATGAATGCAATAATTTTGTGAGTCTTTTCAATGTTATAGAACATACCAGTGATCCAATGCATGGACAGGGAGCACATGAAGCACATTACCAATGTGTTCATGACATACAGCGCGTGTTATTTCCCTTCCAAATATTAAACAACTTTTGTTGTGTTCCCGAATCGAAACTTGCGACGAGTGTGTCATACAGTCTCTCCTCAATGATGAGAGAGAGAGAGAGAGAGAGACAGAAAGAGAGAGAGAGAGAGAGAGAGAGATTAGATGGTTGAGAGGAGCTAAACAGCTGCCTAAGCGGTGATTGGAGTCATTCATATAAAAATATATCAGGGCAATACAGCAATAGTTTATTGATTAGTTATATCATAAGTCATTGAAAACAAAGGCAATTATTTGCATACTTTGCCGTTTAGCTCATCCACATTACTTCAACCAATTGTCTTGTGGTCTGGATATCGTGTCCTTAGCTGGAGAATGGCTCACAGCCGCCGCTAATACTAATATGTAATCATTTTGCACATTATTAGCATAAATATTACAATTTTGGACACAACTAAATACAAATATTTATCATGAAACCCAGGTTCACATATGAAATCGCGCCGGTATTCATACTAATGGAACATCAAGTTCTCAAAAAGATGAGAGACATTATTGGCTTCACTAACGGAGATTCAATCTTATGCCCGGGTAGGCCTCATAGATGTTATTCTTGAAACATACAATTAGTATATTTGAGCTATTTTATAGACGTAACTCAATTTACGGTATAATTTTAAGATCATTTAAATGATTGAAACGAAAGTTAAATACCGATACTTTTATCATTTTAAAAGATTGCTTAAAAGCAAATTAGTATAAAATGAGGAAATCGTGTAATTAATAAAGTGTATTGTATTAATAAATGCTATTAACTGAAAAGGTGGTGCGATATCCAATTTGTATGCCGTTATCGTTGCCCGACATAAGCTGTTTCCAGAATATAAGACAAAAGGTCTAAAAGCTTTGCCACAACTGGTTCTCTTCACATCGGATCACGTGAGCTATTTCTGCACCGACTGTTTGCATGCAATCAATTGAAGCCAATGTTAAGAGAAAATTATTAGATAATTGAAAAATACATAGAATTTGTAAATTCGTGTCAAATTGGTTTCGTTACGACTGATCCTAAATGGAAAGACTATTTCTTTTTCAGAGCCATTACTCGACTAAAAGCGCGGGTTCTGTCTGTGGGTTCGGCACCAATAATGTCATCGAAGTTCCCTGTGATGACAAGTATTGCCAAATATCTCATTATTTGTATTTATTAGTTATAACTTATAAAGCATTTGCTGAACGCAGAGGACGAATGATTCCGATGCAATTGGAAAGGCTGGTGAGCGAGTCCATAGCACGGGGTGACACTCCATTCTTTGTCAACTGCACGTGTGGTACAACTGTTCTTGGTGCTTTCGATCCCATCAATCCTATTGCTGATATCTGTGAAAAATACAATCTCTGGCTTCATATCGATGTAAAGAATTTTATTATCAATTTTAAACTTAAATAATCAAATGAATAGTAAGAACACCTTTTCAGGATTTTAAGAAAATTATGTTAAACTCTTACATCAAAAATTGGTTCAAAGAATTGATTTTATTAAACACATCATAATCTAACTCTGAATTTAATTTGCTTAGCACAATCTTTTATATAAACAATAAAATTTGTTTCTTACTCTTAGTTGCAATATAGAAATCGTGTTCTATACCGCTCTATAGTATATTAAATTAATTGAAATTAAATTTAATAAGTTCCAAAATGATTAGCATTTAAACAGTTTACAGTACACACAAGAATTGATTGTAGAGTATTAATACTGCATTTGATTGAAACTGAATGACCGTATGTATGGTGTTGTATGGCTGTATAGGCCGCGTGGGGAGGGGGATGTCTGCTCTCTCGAAAGCACAGACACAAACTGAATGGCATCACAAGAGCACATTCTGTCACTTGGAATCCACACAAACTGATGAGCGCTTTACTCCAGTGCTCGACCGTTCACTTCAAAGAAAATGTGAGTCTTTCGCTCCATTCACTCATCAAACACTTAATATTGAGTTCATATTAATTTGTGAATAATTTTAATGAAGGGTCTATTACTTGATGCCAACCAAATGTGTGCGGACTACCTGTTCCAACAGGACAAACACTATGATGTCAGCTATGATACGGGAGACAAAGTGATTCAATGCGGGCGACACAATGACATATTTAAGTTGTGGATAATGTGGAGATCAAAAGTATGATTTTGCTTACTTTGTGAACTTATTTTGAAAGTATCACATCTTTAAAGGGAATGGAAGGTTATGAGCACCATATCGACCATTTATTTGATATGACTGAGTATGTATTAACTAGCTATTATTCTGTATCTGTACTAGCTAATACAGATTAGCTATTATTCTGTAACACTCTAAAATATGGGCCTTAAATAAATAATCAACAGATATATGGTGTCAAAACTCAAAGAAAGCGGCGATAAATTTTATTTGATTGTACCCGAGCCTGAATGTGTTAATATAAGCTTCTGGTACGTCCCCACACGACTCAGGAATACACTTCACAATAAGCAAAGAGAGCAAGAATTGGGACGGGTATGTATTTTTATTATACATATTGTATATCATATTATTCTGATCACTAAATGTTACCAACAATTAGTTGATTTAGTTGGCAGACAAATTATGTGGTTTACATGACATTAACATGATAATAAATTAGCAGAATTAATGATTGTCATTTTGATCAAAATATTTTTTATTATTAAGATAATTTACAATATTTTTATCCAATGATATATATAAAGCAGTTTAATCAAGAATAATGAGGTGAAACTTATTTACTTGTATGTAAAAAAATTACATTGTTCATTACAGTGTGATTAGCTAGCTGTTTTATAATTAAATAATTTATAATGTATTAATGAAATTTTTGAAATCAATAATATATTTTACGATATATTAATTATAGAACAAAATGATTAATAAATAAATTTTTATTATTGCACTAAAAGATAACTCCAATACTGAAGGGCCGGATGATGAATGAGGGAACTCTTATGATAGGTTACCAACCAGTGGGAGATATTCCCAATTTCTTCAGGAATATTATATCTAATCCCGGCGTCCAAACCAAAGACATCGACCACTTAATCGCTGAGTTGGACCGTTTAGGTCACGATCTCTAATATTGACTTTTAAGTGAAATATAATTTACAATTCCGACCGTTTTATGAGTTAAAAATGATATAAGTTTAGGCCTCAGTTGTACACTTCAGTCGTACAGTTATACTGCGGGACAACTCACTGCCGAAGTCTTTCACTTTATGTCTGTACTGTTCCTCCAATTATTGGTGTATTTATTGAATGTGTTATCTTTAACCCGAATGTGATGTAACGGTTGATAAGAATTAGTATTCAATTCAATATTTACGCTATAATTATAATTTTAAATTTAAGGCAAACAACGAGTAAATATTTGTGTGAATACTGTTGTGTATAAATAGCAATATATGACAATATATAGCAATATTATATGAAATAGATTTTATTATATAATAGTTGAGTAGTTTGTTAATCTGTTAGATAATGCGACAGAAGTGTTAACAGAGAGTTGCAATGTTTAGTAAATATAGTTATTATATGGTGTGTTATTATAACGGATTGTCTCCTATAATACTAAAAACCAATGTCTGGCAAAAGCCGACAACAAAATCAAATGTCTTCCAAAACAAATTCTACAAAACCTATAGCCATCCAAAAGGCTATAAATATCAGCTTAATATTCAACTAAACTTAAGCTCATTATAAACAGTGTCTTTTGATTAATCATTTTTCTTTCGGTTATCTATTCATTCAACAGATAATTAAGAAAAAATATTTAATAATTCATAAAAATATCTCTTAATTTATAAGAAGTATGTCTTTTCTGATATTTACTTTTTATCATTTTTCTCTATTTTCAATTAATAAGTTAATGAAGTGTTCATATTTTAACAAATTGATAGATATATAAGATTTATAGCTATTTTTGAATGAATTTATTTAATTTTAAGAAATAATAAATTTAATTACAGAGATAGACGATATTTTATGGACTGAATCTTTGATTCATAATCTAATAATGCCTTGAGTTAATCTTTGATTGTTTTAGGGATAATTTATATAATTATATTTAATATAAGTTATTATTATATCATATATCATAGTGTGATAAAGCTATCATACGAATTGATTGTCGAAAAAGTCATAAATTGGAAATATATATAAATGTTATTCCAGTTAAATATTAAGAAGTCTATAAATTGAGAAAACTATAAATATTATTATATTTATTAAGAAGAATTTATCCATGTTAAAATCTAATTTGTTTGAGTGCCTAACAATCCAAAAGTTATTTAATGTATTAAAATATATCAAATCTTACATTAAGGAGTTATCTCATTGCGCATTCAAAATTCAAAATAAAAAACAATTTTTAAATTAAATTAAATGTTACCATTAAGAATTGTTCACATAAAATACATATTAAAAACTCAATTTCACTCAACATTTAAATGTTTTACAAAATTATTTTCAAACTTAAGAATAACATAAATTGTATTAAATTTATTTCCAAAAATATATACAAAATAATAAAATTCAAGAATAAATCATTTTGTTTGACAAAACCAAGAATTACTGACATATCATTGTCTCAAAATTTGTTTTAAACATAATATCAATATCAATAACACTAACATTGTACATACAGTATTATGATCTATATGTGAA